TCCTAAAAAAATGGGAAAATTTGTATTTGAAACTGATGGAATGATAGTGTCTCAGATCAGATTTCTAGGATTATTGAAATATGTAAAATAATTGCCAGGGTTAGATTATGAGTTTTTATCTGAGAAGCTGCAACATAAGTATCATTTCACATCTGAATATGTTATTTACAAAATGGTAAATCAATCAAATATTTATAAAAAGGTGAGATTATGCATTATACAGATTGCATATTCAAGAGGATTGGGAAGTATGATAGAAGGCATTAAAGACTATTCAATATATGAATGACAACAGAAGATCATTTTGATATCTGTAATTGATAAAATGTGGAATGATTATTTCAGCAAAAATGTTTTTTTATGACTACTGGAAACAGATGAATCTTTTTAGAAAAGTAATTGTTAAGATACGTTCATCTAATTATTGGAGATATGAATTGGTCCATATGATGTTGTCATATATGGTTGTGCTTTCTTTTTGGATAATGATTTTTCAGATACTAACTTTTTTGAAGGAGTTATTGATATTTGTAGATGCCCATGTTTATGATAAATAAAATGACAAATACAAATATAAACAAATGATCTTTTTAAAGATGGGAAGTCACTTGATTTTAATCAATGATACAGTGACCATCAGAACCAATACTCTTTTCTGTATTTAAATAAGCATTTTATTGTTTTAGGTTTTTTTTCCATTTAAATCAAAATGCAAAAATTTAAAAATACAATGTACAGATGATATACTCTGTACATATTAATTATCTACTGTAAAGTTCATGGGACTGTAAATCCCAATATCTCCCCAATCAGCATGGCTATTAGCAACATAATTTTAGGTTGCAGAAAAAACACTGGAACAATTGTTTTTGCTGTCTTTAAGTCTGTCTGAATCTCAGCTAAGATTGCACAATGTAAATATTTCAGGAATTTCATGTTTTACTTCTACTTTTTCTACTTTTTTGTATCTATTTCAGAAGTAGCTTTTAGCATGCAAGGATTAAAACACATTATATTTTAATACTGAGTAGCGCAAAAGCTTCAGAGCAAGATGTATATCACTGAATATCTTTCCCTGGATGAATTAAGCTATCTTTAATTCTGTTTTTAAATCACTTCAAGAAGATAGAATCTACAAGATTTTATAAGTTTCTTTTAATTGAATAAATTCCTACTACCAATTTAATTTGAAAAAATACTTGCTGTTAGTTTGTTAGTCCAGTAATCCTGTAGACCTCACATCTCTTCACTCTGTGGATTTTTGCCTATCACAGTTGTTTCTTTTCCCAAAGTTTATGTTCATCTGTTCAAACTAATAGCTGATATCCCATTTAGCAATAATTCACACTCTTAATCTCTAACAACAGTACTTTCTTTTTTTTGAAAACATGTTTTGCAAGTAGTTGGACACTTTTCAGGGCTATGTGTATTGAGAATGTGATTTTTTTCTTTAAAAAGTCTGGGCCCCCAAAATGCATTATGGGAAATAAGGAAGCTGGAGTTATTGCTTTGTTTTATCATCTGCCTGTTCATTTTCACGAAGGAAAAGATAAATATAATTTTTAAAAGATTAAAAATAGCAAGTGAAGTTAGCCTCCTGGGCATAAAATGTGAATCAACAAACATTCCAGGATTTATAGGATACCTTGTTGAGAAACTAACATTCTGATCATCAGAGCTTCATTTTGCTGCTTTTCTGGGACTAGAAAAATTAAATGCTATCTGGGTCTTGTCAGACTTTCTTTGCTAGTGGGTTTTGTTTATTTACTAAGATATGTTGTAGAGGTCTATCCCATGTTCTCATTTCTTGGGTAATGTTATTAAATTAAATGAACTTTTTTTTTAGTATTATTGCTATGGCTTATTTAAATAATATCTAAAATATGTTAATTGCCATACAAATTATAGTCGACTGTATTGACTGTCACTCGTTTAAAAATTACTGCAACACTAAATTGGGGTTCTTCAGCATGAAAGGTAACAGTAAAAGCGCTGTTTTGTCGTTGATAAAATCCATTGTCCCCGATTTTCTTGTATTGCACATATTTCAAGTTATGTATCACTGAAGCCAATTGTCATTGGTCAATTGTCATGAAGTGCCAGGAATGGTTTCCTACCACCTGCTCTTGCATTATAGGGAATATAATTTGGAAATTGTGGCACATTCGTTTAATTCAGGGATCTGAGGCTGCTTTACAGATCTAGCTTTCTTCCCTTCCAGATGGCTATATGGACAGTCTATGAATTAAAGATTTGCCTTTATTCATTATATAGGAAGATAGTTATTTCCCATTCTCCTATCAGTTCAGATTTAAGAAGTGAGGACTGCTGATACGCAAAATGATTCCTAAGGAAAAGGACACTGTGTGCACTGGGTATATGGATCCTGGCAAAAGGATGAATAGATGGTGTGTGGTGGAGATAGGGAAACGAGTAGGAAAAAATAAAACTAAATGAGAAAGGTCTTGATCAGAGGTGAGATTCAGCCAGTTCAGTTTGGGCTGGTTTGGAAAACTGGATGTTAATTTTACATACAGTGTGGCAAACTGGTAGTTCCAATGACCAGTCTGGCAGCACCTCCCGCAGTGCCCCGTTTTTGCTCCCAGGAGGCTCCAGGGAGGCTTGCTAGGCTGAAAATGGGGCGGGGCGGGGGGGTACTTCTTCAAGTTGCTCAGAATGTAAGCTCTGCTTACCATTTCAGAGTGAGCAACCCATCCTTTGGAGGCATAATCAAGGGGGTGTGGTGGCACATTTACCTTTGCCACAAGTAAGTGATCCAGCTCACTACTGTTCTCATTTTACAGAAGGAGAAATGAGGCTCAAAAGTGCTTTCATGCAATGCAGTTACAATTCAACCTCAAATCTCCAGATTCAATCCCAACTTATTGTTCCCTGGGCATAAACTTCCTAGTATGGCACCTGAAGTTGCCTTGGCAAATGAAGTCCTGCATTCATTCATTCATTCATTCATTCATTCATTCATTTATTTTTTGATTTGATTTGTCAATCGCTTACAAAATAATAGGTATAAGTATATACATAGTTATGAATACATGAAATGGGTACATATAAGAAAAATAAAAGAAACAATAGGACAGGGACAGTAGGCACGTTGGTGCGCTTATGCACGCCCCCTACAGACCTCTTAGGAAAGGGGTGAGGTCAATAGTAGACAGTCTAAGGTTAAAGTTTTTGGGGTTTAGGAAGAAACCACAGAGTCAGGTAGAGGATTCCAGACATTGATCACTCTGTTGCTGAAATCGTATTTCCTGCAATGCTTCCCCGAATAGCAGGGGATCTAAGCCACAGAACCACATCTGTGGGCTTCTGCTGTGGTGATATGAGACTAAGTGTTTTGTTACTCTTGGAATTATTCTTAATTGCATCTTCTCCTCTTGTCATTCAGTTTCATGCACTGCTGATAAATATTCTTGCACTTCTACATTTATTAACAGTGATATATTTTATATTAGACATGTGGCCATGGCAACAGCTCTCTGGCAGCATTATACACATTTATTTACTTCCATGATATTAGTTTACAAATGGTATCCTGGTCCTTTTCCTTCTTTCTATCTCCATCCCCCCCTCTAATTTAGCTTGGTAACCTTTGAGTTTATTATAGCTGATGCCAAACAGAAAAATTAATCTAAATATGTTTATAAACACATCATTACAATGATTATAATCTTCCTTAACATGCTAATGTAGTCACTCTGGATCCTAGTTTTCCTTTTCACTTCACAAGCATACATACATGGAAGGGAGAAAGAAAGGGAGGGGGGAAGGGAGAAAGAGAGAAGGGGAGGGAAAGTGAATGAGATATGGATGGACGGATGGAGGAAGGGAGGGAGGGAGGGAGAGAAAAAGGAGAGGGAGGAAGGACCACAAACCCTGGCACTAGACACAGCTTCAGAGGATGCTTTGAAACACCACAGCAATCCAGGGCTGGAAGGGACCTTGGAGATCATCTAGTCCAACCCCCTGCTCCAGGAGCATTGTTAAAGTGAGTTTCTCTCTTTTGACCCACCCAGTCACATAACCACATAACCACCCCCACCCAGTCATATGACCACCCAGTTATATGACCACCTAGCCACACTCACCAAGCCACAGAACTGGTTGTTAAAAACCAATTGAATCCCACCTCTTCTTTTGATCGAATTATTTGTGGTGACACATCTTAGCTATAAGCCCTATTCAACCAAGAAATTATCTCACACTGTGGCAATGAGTTCTCATTATTGTTGGAGATATTTCAGATTCTCTAAATCAGAACGGAAGTGGAATAGCCCATGCTCAAGTTTATTCTGCAGTTTCAACTGGGCACCTACATACGTAGCCTATTGTTACTTAGTACTGAATTCTATTCCTTTCTTTAAAATCATGTATTGTAATAGTCAGGTACAGTGAATGACTTCTATGCTTTCTCATTCCTTTGCATTTGCTTTGTATGGATTTCTTTTCTTCCTCTATTCCTTTAAGATTACATTATTTCTTTGAAACAAAATAAAAAATGATGAGAAATAAAAAGACAATTTCTGCTATGGCAGAGGTTCCCAACCTTTTCTATACTCCGTACCCCTAGAATGCTTCTGATATATTCTCACATCCCTTAAAAATAAATAATTACATGTATATAATTATACATATACACTATAATTTTGAAACTTCTAAACCCAAGATTTTGCACCCCCTAGAATATCGTTTTGCACCCCTGGTTGGGAACCCCTGTCCTATGGCTTGCTTTTTCTTAATATAATTCATTCAATAGAGGTGCAAACAAGCTGCTTAATTCCCACCTTCTCTTTGATAAATGTATTGTTTCCATTGTGATTTTCTGAGGGCTGTTATGTTAAAACATCCAAACATCCAAATAAAAACTGTACAAATCTTGATGACAGATGCCATTTTAGAACATTTGTTAGTTTTTGTTTGTTTTGCTGATAAACTATGCAATTTTCTTTTGTATTAGAACGTCTTCTTTTTTGAAATTGCAGCTGCTACAGGTGACATGCCAACTTATCAAATCCGTACTCCAACCACAGCCTTACCTCAAGGAGTCGTCATGGCAGCTTCCCCAGGAACACTGCATAGCCCGCAGCAGCTAGCGGAAGAAGCAACACGTAAAAGAGAACTAAGGCTTATGAAAAATAGGTACCAATTAGAATTTAAATTAATCATTATTTATTTATTTCCCAGAATCAGTAAGGAAATAGTAATGCTAAAAAGACTAATGCAGTACTTTAACTTCTATACCATACTATACACTTTTTCCACTCAGAAAGTCCATTGCATTAATAAGAATAAAAGATTCCCTCACACAGAAACAGAATTTAGTATCATACATAAAGTTACGAGACAGATAATTCTCACTTACTGACAGTAATTGAGACTGGGAACTCAATTGTTAAGGGACGGTAGTGCTGACCTCTACTCGAAGTTCCAAACGTCCTGATTACTGTAGTTAGGTGAATCTTGCACAGCTGCAGTGTCCCATGGCCACATGATCAAAATTTGTGACCACCTGCAAGTTCTCCATTGACTTTGCTTGTCAATGGAGAAGCTGGCAGGATTGGCACTGAATGTCACAAATGGCAGTCGTGACTATGGGACTCTGCAGTGGCTACCAACTATAAAGATTCAATATAGGAATTCTTTATTCAGTGCTATTCATAACTTCAAACAATCACTGAATGAATACATGTTAAATGGAGAAAGCCTATATTTTAAATAATGCTTTATACATCTAATTTTTATGTGCACATTCATGTGAGTGTCATTTGCTTAAATAGCAAATTCTGTTTTGATTCAGTTTTACCAAAGCCTGTGATTTTGTAAACTTAACAGAATAAGAGAAGGGTAAAGCTTTTTACAGATCTATATTTTATTGCAGAAAATAAATTCACTGTGGAATGTTCACTTGTATTTTGTAGTAGACTGATTTTTAAGAGTTTGGTTGCATTTCTCACTTTAGATTGCATTTCTCACTTTATTTATTAAATTTTGTATGTTGTCCAGGCTGAATTATCCTTTTGTTTATTTACTTCCTGTATGTATGTTAGTATTAATGTTGTATTCATTTTCCATTGCCAGTATTTGTGGATATTGTTGGCATGCACTTTACTGGAAGAAGCTGAACTCCTTGTAACTAACCCCACTATTGCTTAATGTTTTCATAGTATTGCTTTTTCTCATGCCTTTTAATTTCAAATTGCTAATCCAGAAATGTTTTAGTTTCCATCTCTTGTTCTTCTCTCTTCAGGTTGTCTAGTGTCTATTGTTAGTGGCAATTAAATAATATATGTCAGCTTATTTTGATTTTTCTGACATTAAATGCATATTATCAACTAGCCAACATTCTTGCTTAGCACTTGCCAGATACCTTTCTCATTGATGTAATTTTTTTGACTCTTAGACTGTATTTTCGTAAAAATTGTGTCAACGATCTTAGGGATTCTTTTAGATTAGTATTCCAGGAAAAGCATTGTGAGAAATAATCTTACCTATAATAATGTACAAGGAAAAAGCTTTGTCCTTGTGAAAATTACAGCAGGGAGGACTCCAAAACAAAATTTGTAGCTTTGAGACAAATAAGTTCAGATGTGTTAATGTCATCATAGTATTTCATATTCGTTAAGGAATTTATATTGATTTTAAACATTTTTGTTCAATACTTTAAGAAAAAGTTCTACATGTTGGCCTCTACAAAGATCTTAAAACAGTAACATATATGTAAAATATTATATAATTTAAAAAGATAACCAATGATGATGTTTGGTTCTTCATTTCCCACTCACAGGCTAGTGGTTTTAGAGAACTAAAAGGCCTGGAATGAGATTAATGAAACAACAACAGGAACCATAAAAGTTTAAATAGTAGTTTAACTTCCCATTGATCCTTAATTATTAAACTTTAAACCTTAAACTATAAATATTAATTCTTATTAATTCATATTGTATTCACTTTACATAATATTGGTTTGGATAAATAAAAATTGGGACAGTTAAAACATTTCAAATTAGCTGAAAAGTTGAAAATTTCAAGCTGAAGAGAGAAGGTACCATGTTTTCTTTGCCAACAGTTAATTTCCTAACATTTTGCAGGTATACTTGGAGATGACTGAACTACTTGTTTTAAGCATGTGGGCTTAATATGGGCTGTTATGCGAACAGATGATGTGGGGGTTTGTGGATATTGAACTGTTACTTTGATGCATGTTTTGTGATAGCTTCAGTTGGTTTTGTAAATCACTATTTCATCGATTTTAACAACAGCTTCCTCTCACTTCTGTGCTATGTGGTGTCTTCTGTCTGGTGTCTTCTGTCTGTCTGTTCTGCATTGTGTTCAGAGCACTGTGGAATTTATGCTGTGACTGGTGTATGGTGTACATGATTTGGCATTTACTGAGTCACTTCAGCTTTTCTGGTGTCAGAGGTTATTCTCGTTATCCAGGTTTTCTTTGCCTTGTAGCTGATTGAGTAGTCATTGCCTTGTGTTGGTTCCAGGGAAGCCGCTCGGGAATGTCGCAGAAAGAAGAAAGAATATGTCAAATGTCTTGAAAATCGTGTAGCAGTCCTTGAAAATCAAAACAAGACTCTCATTGAGGAACTCAAGGCCCTCAAAGATCTTTATTGCCATAAAGCAGAGTAACTGGCATTTGGCCGTGGAACTTTTTACTATGAACAGTAATCAAGGCATGAGATGAAGCAATTCTACAGATTGCCAAGTGACCCTTAAGAAAGGGGCAGTGTGTGGTCTTTGTGATCTTGGCTTTTCTTAGGTCTTTTTTCTAAAAGATGTGTGATTTCTAATCTTTGGAAAGCATCACTGTCTCCATATTGTATTGACCTTGGTCACTGCACCATCTCCATCCTATCTTATGTCAGTAGCATGTCACAAAAGCTTTTCTGTTTGCCCTTTTTACTTTTTTTTCAGGGAAGCTGCAAAAGAATGTCGACGAAGGAAGAAAGAATATGTGAAATGTCTGGAGAGTCGTGTTGCAATGTTAGAAGTTCAAAACAAGAAACTTATAGAAGAGCTAGAAACTTTAAAAGACATTTGCTCTTCCAAGACAGATTAGTGTCGATATTGAAACTGTGAACTGAGTACAGCATGTACAAATGCTTCTGCAGAAATGTGTAGTCAAAAGAATTATGACTTTTCCTTTCTATCATTTGTATTCTACTCCACCTCTAACATTCCTGAAACACTCTGCTGCTTTTTCTAGATTATTAAATGAAACTTCACCTCACTTTTTCTCACTCAGAAATAGTCAAATGTTTTCAAAACACAGTGTATCTTCCATGTTTTTAGAGGAAGCATGTGTAAGAGCTGCTCCTCTACCTATATTTGCATTATTTTCTTTATATGAGTGTCCCACTTGCACCAGTACTTTAAATTGATCAAAGATAATCTAACACAATAAAATGAAAACCACCCAAAGTATCTCAGGAAGATGTTATATAAACATGTGCGTTGTTACGACGTACGTGTATTAGAATACTAGTTTACAAATGAATTTATGGCATATTTTTGTATTCATTGCTTTGTGAAGAAAATATTGTATTGCTGTCACTGAGTGCCATGGTTGAAACTACTTTAAATAGAACCATGTTGCATAAACTTTGTAGTGTTTGGTATTTATTTAATCATCTATTCCATATTTTTAAAGAATAAAACTAATGGCATATGCTGTGAAATATTTTATTAGACAATTTACTGTCTTTTATATTTCACAAGCATTCTCTAAAATTGTCCCTGGAGATTCTCAGTCACCCAGGTCATGGTGTCTCCCCAAAGCACAACTGTAGCCTTTTCCCCCCAAAAGGCAACTGGACTTAACTGAAGAAGTTTTTTTTGAATGAGAAGCAAAAATCAAAGTCCAGTTGCCTTTTGAAAGAAAGCATCTTTGAGATTCTCCAGAATTGTAGCTAACACTAATTTTAAAAAAACATTTCAAGATTTTTCACACAAGTTTTATAAGCACTTCTTGTTGAGCTGAAATCAGATAATACTCAAATTTCAAAGAATTTTGTGTCCTCAGAAGTTAGATTGTACAAAATATTGATATCTTTGTGTGGTACTGCATGAGTTCATGAGCTAGTCACCCAATTGATCTTGTGAGATTCTACTTTTTAAATTTTACTAAATTTTACATATACCTTCCCCCCATTGTTTTGGCAATGGAGCTCAAGATGCTCCAACAGTTTATTATAATTTTATTTATATCTATCTTAGCCTGTATTGTGCTATAGTATCTAATTTTTATTATTCTCAAAATACCCCTCAAAAGCTTCTTTTATCCTAGAAACCTTGCATTGTGTGCAGGTGTGAAGGACATCTTGGGAAGCTGTGGCTGGGAAAGGAAATTGTTGTGTATTCTGTCTTTATGTCAAAGTTTCAGTGAAGGCAGGACTTCTGTTGCTTATGTTTTTGTTTTAGAACGGCTTCATGCTAATATGTATTTAATGCAACACATATTTGACCAAAATATTTTCTTGATGTGGAGTCATAGTATGGAGTCTGTGTTGACACCAAGCAATTCTTCATGGTTGTTACGAATGATTATAAGGGAGGATATCCTGTTCAGTGATATAATAATACTTCCTTTTACCATGATGTCATTCTTAGGCAGTTCTTAACCATTGTAGTCAGAGCAGTTGCAATAAATCTGCCAACAAACCTACCCAATGGATTTTTATTGAGAATAAAGATAATAGGGCAGATCTAAAATGACAATCTATATTGAAATTTATTCTTTCTTTAAAACAATAGTCCAATAAATAGCAATTTTATGACTCATGGGACTGAACAGTTTCTGTTGCTCTATGGTCCGTTTACTTTTCAGTGATAAATAGAATATATGTGTAGGAGAGACAGAAAAAGAATATATACATGAATAACAATACTACCATATTTTCTTTTTATATGAATGGCTATTGGCTATTGAATGAATGAATGGCTATTCATATAAAGTCATTTTGAATGAGAAACTACATTCTTACAAAATGATTCATAAAAACTTGGAAAAGGGAATTAGACTCCTATACATTTCAAATCTGTTATTCAGTTACATATACTATTTCTGGTTGGTACATATATCTGGCAGCCTAGAAAGAAAACCGATATTTCAGTATATAGCTAGGCAAAATAACAGGCAGGAAAATAGTAATTAAATTACAATACAGGTAGTCTTCGACTTACAACAATCCATTTAGTGACCATTTGAAGTTACAACCACACTGAAAAAAGTGACGTTTTTCACATTTATGACTGTTGCAGCATCCCAGTAATCACATGATTTACATTCAGCTGCTTGACAACTGACTCACATTTATGACAGTTGCAATGTCCTGGGATCATGTGATCCCCTTTTGCAACCTTCTGACAAGCAAAGTCAGTAGGAAAACCAGATTCACTTAACAACCATATTACTAATTTAACAACTGCAATGATTCATTTAACAAACGTGGCAAGAAAAGTTGTAAAATGGGGCAAAACTCACTTAACAAATTTCTCACAACATAAATTTTGGGCTCAATTGTGGTTGTGGTTGAGGACTACCTGTACAATAACAATATACTATTGGAGAAAAAAATTGCTTAGAAAAAATATATATAGTAAAGAGTTATAGATTTCAGAAGTCTGCATCTCTCTGTTTAATATTCATAGCTAGTAAAAATATTGGTTTAGTATTCATCATGTTGATAATTTTTATCTATACTTTTACCAACAGAATATATCCAGAAGTCACCAAATAACTACATTTTTCAAATTTTAGTAAAAAAAAAAGAAAAAAGGAAACAATGTTTCCATTAAGGTTTTCCCTCTTTGTGGAATTGCTTGTGTCCAGATGCCCACATTTGCAACCTTGCAGGCTTCTTCTGAGGCTTGCTATTGATGGTTGTTTTGAGTTCTTAAGAAGTACTCTCTTCGAATGGGAAGACAGTAACTGATTTAAAATTTTCTGTGCTCGCTTCTAAATGTTATGTTTAACCTTATTTCTTTAATGAAAGGGATTAGGGTTAAATTGCCTTTATCTTTGTTATGTGGGGTGCTAGCTGATTCTATTTCTATGGTTGTTTGATATTTGTCTTCATCAGCATCAACCTAACCAACCAGTTTTTCCAAAATTCTCAACATACATTTTTGTATTATCTAAATGTATCACAGCCACTCAATTCCAGTGGACTGTAATGGCAAGGTAAAGTTATCAAATAGGACTGTTCTGAACTATAGTGTTTTGAACCTGGCTGTCAACATGTATTCACCATTGCTCATCACACTTTTCAGGTCACAAACGATTAATGCACATGCCGTCATCAGGAAAGATGAATCAAGATTAATGGTGGTGGGAAGGAGGGGGAATTAAATCATGTTAAACTGCCTTTTGAAGTCTACTTAAAATAAAGTAGCAACAATGTAAGAAAGGAAGTGGTGTTACCTGTTGGGGTTTTTTCTGTCATTGAAATGACTTGTGTTAATGATTTTGATGTGGTTAACCTGAAAAAAAAAGATTAGGATATTGATGTCACTTCTGCATTTTGTTTTCAAGCAAACTGTTGTTCACTGAGTTTAGAGGGCAGTTCTTCTACAATCAAAAATGTAGAGCTATGGTGGCATATTTTGTAAGGTCTGACTTTGTAACATCAGGTTCATATTAGAGAAAAAAAGATTGGCTGAATATATTACTATTAGTTCTGATAAATTTCTGATTGATGGACTATGTGCAAAGTAGGAGGGAGAGTCCATTCATTAAAAAAACAGCACTAGTACTTTGAGACAGTGCTTCTTCAGAGTCTTTCACAACCTTTTATCCTTGAACTTTTTAGAACTATTTTCTTCCACATTCAAAAAACTTTGCAGTAAAATCCCAACAAATATATGGGCTGCATAAATATGCATATGTCAGTTTCTCAATTATGTGCATCTGCCAAGTTTATTTTTCTTATTTTGAAAGTTTGTCAAATCCACATTATAAAATTTGCCTTAAAAAGGTCTGAGATGTCTTAAGATAATTTGGTCTATAGTTGGTCTTTTTCTAGTTTGCCTAATACGCATTGTAGTATACTTTTTGCATGTTATTTTCACAAGTGTCATTTTTTCCTACAGATTTTATCTAGTAAACTTTAAAAATAAAGGAGAATATGATTAGCTCAGGCTTGAAATGAGGGGTCCTTGGTGCTCTCTGAGCTTGGTTGTTTTCTTGCAGACGTTTAATTACCCAACTAGGTAAGATCATCAGTGCTAGCAAGGAGTGGGGAGCTGACAGCAAATTCTACTCCTAAACTAGTATTGATGATGGCAAGTCTACTTTGGATGATGAAGCACCTGCAAGAAAACAGACAAGCTCAGAGACCACCAAGGACCCCACCCTGATACTTTTTTAAAAAATTGGTACAGTTCAAAATTTAAATAGAGGTAGTCCTCAACTGTAATGAAACCTGTTAGTCATATGTTGCAATGGCCATTAAGTGAAGTATCTGTTAATGAACTCCCCATTTCCACTCTCAAATGCAATCATTAAATGAATATGTGTCTCGTCACGTGGAACACTTGGGTTGCCTCAGGGATGAACAAAGGCCCTTAGAGGCCCCAACGCAGGCCCAGACCAGGGCCTCATCACCCGAGGCTCTGTTCCTTGTTCCTCGGCCTCAGCCTGCTCCCAAGCCAGCCATTCCCTGTCAGGCAAGGCCACCAAGGCCACTCAGGGAAAATGATTGGCATATCCGGTGCTTACAACTTGTAGGCCGAGGCCTACCTCCTATCCAGCCATCCTCTAAGAGACTTGTAGAACTCAGCCTGCTTCTCACTCAGCTCCAGGGCTCGGCGGCATCTAACTTACCTTTTTATTTCTTACAGAGAAGCCCGACTGATGTGATGTGAGACTCAGCTTTCTTTCAGGTCACAGTGACCTCTTGCTCTCCTAACTAGTAATAGTTCTCCTGGGATTAGAGGTCTCTTTTTAAAAAACAAAAACTCCACAAATTCAGCAAACAAAGGAAGCTCCCTATATCTCCCCTCTGCAGCTGAGTTAAGTTTGTGACATTTAGTACATTTCTCCCTAAGCTTCAAACACATTTTTTTTTTTTGGGGGGGGGGGGAGGGGGGGAGAGGAGAGGATTTCTAAATTGTGGTGGAATCTATGCACAAGCAACACTACTTGCAGAAAATAATTGTGTTCTCCGCCTCAGCCTCCCCTTTAATAAGCTCTGAATGACAAGAGCATGTCTCCTTCTCAATTCTGATCAGATTTTGGGATGATACGCATAAGGAAGAGATCTTTTGTTCCATCGCTGGAAACTGGTTTTGCTGATGGAAAAATACAATTATTTTCTGCTGGTTTTTGTTTTTTGTTTAATTACTGAATCAAGTTGTGGCAGTTTTTACTTATTTTCCTTTAGAATGTTATTCAAAACCAAAGTACTGTTACATAACTCTAGAAGTCAACTATATCCAATTTCTGTCGGAAACAGTAAAGTATCTTTTTTCAAAAATCATATTCTCATTTAACTCTGTTCTGGAGATACCAGCATGATATAATATCTTCATCTGGAAAAAGAATAAAGACGAATAACAACAGAGTAACCATAATAGAAGTGTGTAGTCAAACAACAGAGGTTAAATGTATTTTATTGAGATTTAAGCCAACTTCATTTGAAAATACACTGAAATTCATGCAAACCTTCAAGTTTTTAGAATAGACTTGTTGGCATTTTTCAGAATATGTTTAAAGATTGCATATTGAAGTCAAGTTTTTAAGGTGATGCTTTGATACATCTTTTATCTGTTCATAAATTATTAGTTGGAAGATAACTTGATTAATCACTCTAATCAGTTCTCTCATAATTTGAGAAAGGTAAGAGATAAGTTGAGAACCAGTCTTTCTCACAGTAGAAGTATCAGTCAACAACCAATAGCCAGAACTCAAATTGATATAGGT